ACCCGAGTACCGATCGGTTATGTGTTAAGTGAAATTTTTTTCTTCAATTTTTCTTATGTTTTAAATAATAATTTATAAGTTATGATAAAAGAAGTGACGGAAAATCCTAAAAAAAGTATAAAAGAAGCGTGTCAAAATTCCATGCACACGAAGTAGGGACCAAACCCTGCTTTACCATGAAAAGAGAAGCCCAAAACTGGTTTTGGTGCGGAGTCGAATTAAATAATAAAAAGGAAATATTACAGCTTAAATATCAAATAAGTTTAATAAATATTATAAAATATATACTAGCCATATTAACTGATATGGACCGAAGCAAAGGTGACAAGTCAAGGAAAATATTTCTTTTTCTTTTAAGGGGCTCATTGGTACTCATTTTCATATTTTTCCTGAATTCCAAAGCAGTCAATTTTTCTTCATCCTTGAAAACATAAAAGAAATGTCTATTAATAATATTTTCCTCGAATATTTTTCCGGCATGGCTTATCGACTTTAATAACATACGCGACGATTTTTCGTACCTGCTATTTGTGATAAAAAAAAATATTAATCACTTTTCTTTATTTTAAATATCACCATAATTGCAAAAAGGTTTTAATTCGAATGAACCATTTGTTTGACATTAAATATTTAAGCAAAATATTAAAATAAATAACTTAATATTTATTATAAATAATAAAAATTTAAACAACAGATTTCTATATATTTGTTGGTAGGAATACTATTTTTAACTTATTTATATGCATAAATGTGTTAAATTGTTTTTCAAAAAACGTGCAATATGAGCTACTTGGGTTGGTAGCCAAAATGAACGGCACAAAAACTTGAATTTAAACAAAAAAAAAAAAGGCGCCCTAAAAAAACTTAGAAAATATTTGACCCCGACGTGATTTGAACACGCAACCTTCTGATCTGGAGTCAGACGCGCTACCGTTGCGCCACGGAGTCACATTATTCATGACCGCAAACAAACGGAATGAAAGCAATGCAAAGGCACGCTGAATTTGCATTAGTCAGATTAAGATTAAGAAAAATCGATACGAGAAATATACAAAGGAAAATTTAAAAAAAAAAATTTAAAATAACTTTTTGTTTAAAACTATATGAGAGTTGCTTTTATATTTGGGGAATAAATAAAAAATAATAATCATCGAAAAACGCATTATAAAATTTCAAAATATTGTCCTATAAAATCTGCGTATCTGCTGATATCTGACGGTTCAGCGTATCAAATAATGGCATCAGTCAAAACTAACCCATTGTGCAAATTCAGAAACCGCTCTCCATCTTCCACCACGCGCTTTCACTTCACTCTACTTGAATGGATTTTAGAATTTAATTTTTCTGCTTTTCATCGTTTCAAGTGAATTCGGCTTTGCTTTTGTTGGAAGTGCTGCTCCTGTTGTATTTATGTAATAATATCAACAATTTTCATAATGTTTACGTACATACATATAGATAGAGCTCAGCTGCCGTTCCAATACCAGTGCGTGTGTTTGTTGTTGGAACCTAAACAGCGCCACAAACTAACTACAAAACCTGTACACACTATACCCTTAAGTACCGCAAAAACTTAAAACCCCAAAAGGCGCAACAGAGATATTTCACTTACAACCTCCTGCCCCCCACAGGTTACCGAGCAAACGAGCAGACGCCGTTAATGTCCGCTGCCTTTCCAAGAAATCGACTATTCCTTCCTTCATACACTTGAGCGCCTCCTAGCGCGGTGGCGAGCTACCGTTTTGGCTACAACTAACGCAATATAACAGCAACGACAACAACAATATGAAAAAAAGAACAGTTATAAAAGTAAGTGTAGGCAAGCGAAATGGCAAATCCAAGGTGAAATCCGCGCATATAGAGAGTCTCGATGTCTGGGGGGGGGAGGGGGCTGAGTTGGTTCGGGCCATTTTTAGATTTATTTCGGTGATTATTTCTAAGTTTTGTGAAGGTAATAGTCGCTGCTTCGCGGCTCACTGCGCGCTTGCTTGCTTGGTGGGTGGGTTCCTGTAGCTGGGGTTGCCGTAATGGCTCACCAGCTGCTTTGCTACTTTCTTAGCTGGTCGAATGCTTTTCATTGTTGTTGCTTTTGTCATTGCCATTGCTGTTGTTGCTAGCTAGCCTTACAATACTAATACTTTTGATCAAAACTTATAGCTTATGCCCACAATGAGCTGAATAGACACCGTTGTTTCGGACGCCCCACTCGACCCCACGAGGAATGTTTGTGTGTGCGCGCGCTTAGCCATTGGCATTTGCACTAACACCAACACCAATGTGCACTAACAACTAACGATTTTCATTTGCAACAGTTTCAATTGTTTTGTTGTTATTATTGGCGTTGATTGTTGTTTTTGTTGCGAAACGTTTATCCACGGATATTTCTCATTACACTCTTTGTTGTTGCTGTTGCTGTTGTTGTTGTTGTTTGGTTAGCAAAGTTTTCGGTTTCTTTAGCCGTTTTCTACTTTACTTTGCAGTTTGTTGTCCTTTCTCCGGGGTAATATTTGCGGCTACTCCTGCTTCATAATCCAAATATTCCAGTCCGTCCGCTGCGGCTCGTCCGTCCACTTTTCAAGTAGTTTTGTGCAAAGTTTAGCTTTTACTAAAGAATTTCGTTCGAGTGTTGGATGAGTAGCGAATTTCAAAGGAAAACTAAACCAACTAAACTTTTTAGGGGGAGGTGCAGTAGAAACGTCGCACGCGCTACACGCGGCGCGCTTAGACATTCTTAGCGAAGCTTCTACTGCATATAAACTAACCTAAACCTCTATTAAGTTCTCCGAAAACCCACAATGAATGGCCGCTGCTCAGCTGCGCCCACTTTTCCGCTTTCAAAATAAATCTGGCAAAGCCGCGGCAAGCAGCCCCTGCTCCAAAAGCAGCAGCGGCGGCGACGGCGGCAAATCAATTCAAGCGGCAACATTTCCCTCGTTACTCCGCAATAGATTGGTGGCGGGAAAGAAAAAAGTTGTTGTAGAATGTTGCAAGTTTAAATATAAATTGTGGCAAATGGCGTCGATGAGCGTGGCAGCCATTGCCGCACCAGCAGCGAACATTAGTTCAAGATGTTCACCATACCACGCGGACTCTCTATTATTGCTTGCCATTTGCCTACGTCCTTCGTACCCGAGCTCGCTTCCAGCTTGTGTGGTGCTTAGAGGTTCTAAGCGTTTGGCGCTGTGAAGGAGGAGATGGCGGCGCAGCACTACATTTATGATGGCCATTTGTGGAGAAGTGTGGGAAAAACTACGCCATGCCACAGCAGCGGCCATTGGTATCATCATTTATTTGTTTCGCTGAATTGTATTGCATTTTATTTTGGACGGGCGTGCTGCGATGTGGATGGGGCATAATTTTATTGTCGGAACTTACGTTGTTTCATAATTGTCTATCTCTTTTCTGTTTCTTCTTCTTCTTCTTCTTCTTGTTGTTGTAAGCACTCTAACAGAGTTCGGCGATTATTCAATATCGTCTTATTGCTACTTTGTACATGAATGTTATGTGGCTGTCTTTCTTTCGCCTTATGCACTGTTCGGAGCGCAATGAGTTGGGGAAACCCGTATTGATTTTAACAATATTCTAGTTATGATATATAAGAGATCTAAGCTTAGCTCACCTGTTTATGGGCTCCGTCTCTACTCGATGCGATGGCGCTCTTGTAGTTTTCAGGATAATTTTTTTTAAACATTTTTGAACTGTTACTTTTGGATATATAACTGTATGTTCCAGCTTAGTTCGATTTATACCTCTTTCATTCCGTTCCGCGTAATCGCCTAGCAAATTCGGATTGGTTTCGTACCACGCTTGCTTTAGTTGATGAAGAGCAGAGTAACGAAGAAATTAGAGCTACGCTATGAAGATTTTGCGGAAGAACCTCGGTGTGCTGGCTTACAAGATCCAACTCGTTAAAGAATGGAAGCCGAACGACCATCTAGCTAGTCGCATATTCGGTGAATGGCCTTAAAGGAGATGACTACTGATTCCATTTATTACAAGAAAACTTGTTCAGCGCTGAAGATCGCCTTTGATTGAATTGTCTCATTTGGCGTGAAGATAATGCACAAGCCACTGTTCGGACATCGCTGCAACCTCCAAAGGCCATTGTTTGGTTAGATCTGTGAACAGAGATAATCAACGGCACATATTTCATCAAAAAAGTAGTCGGCCATATTGTTCGCGGCAGGAGTTTTATTCGAGCCAGCCCTCGCCCGCCACTTGCCCGCAATTGTTCTTAAAACATTCGCATTATCTTTATAATATTCATAGCTGAATTCTTTGCCATTGTATTTATTTATATGCATCTTATTCTTCCAAGAAAACACCCTTTTAAAGCTTACCCGGGGCCGAAACTTGAGTTTTTTCTGAGTTTTTCTTCGTTGATTTTTTACCGCTCAAAAAGTATAGCTAAGAAAAATTTAAATTTTTTGGCTGTGACCATACCCAGGGAGAAATTGTGCCCGTATAATGTGTTTTTTGAATTGGCTTTATATATCTTTGGTATCTAAGAGAGCTCAAAGTTAAAAAAAATTTTTGCTTCAAAAGATTTTTAATAAAAAAAATACAATTGTATATATGTATATGAGTATGTACGAGTATACTGTCGATGTATATTGATATGCAAAACTTATTGTTGGGGTTTTTCTCTTCTACTGCAATTTATTTATTATTATTAATTTATTGGTCCAGCTGAATTAATATATACAATAGTATATTTATTCGTTCTCATTTATTCATTTATTTGCAGGAAGTTGTGACAAATAGACTCTGGCAGGTAAATAATAATTCTTATTCCGTTACATTTTAGTTATTGCCACTCACACATACGGACATGTACATGTTTTCAACATAATATTTGTTACTTCAAATAGTTTACTGTCTTATTAAAAAAATGTTATTTTTTTTTGCTATTTTCAAAACAACAATAAAAATTAGCCAACTTTTTTACATATTGTACATATATGTATACGCTTGACAATTGGAAAAGTGTTTTAGCATTTTGACCCCGACGTGATTTGAACACGCAACCTTCTGATCTGGAGTCAGACGCGCTACCGTTGTGCCACGGAGTCTTGTTGAACACTCGCAGTTGCCAAACGAAAATACAAAAATGTTTTTATACACATATATATATATATATATACTAATAATGACTAAACAGCAAGTAATCAAACTAAAGCAAATAATTTCGATTTAGACGTCGTGTGTCACACGACAATGGCGAAGGCAAAGAACGCAGAATTCGTAGAGCCTCGGAGATCTCTTCGCTACACTATTTAGTTGCTAGTATCGAAGGGTTTCTGTTTGTATGGCTAAAATAAGAATACGAAAGAAATAATAAATAAGTTGTGGGTTTGATAAGCGCAGAACCGATCGGTGTGGGGGTGGACAGTGGGACGACATTAAACGGCTTGACAACCAACTAACAAAGCGATACATATACACAGACTCAGAAGTGATTCAGCTTAGCGAGCGCGATTGAAGACGGTAATGTAGCTGGACAAACAAACTTATCTACACCGGCAAAAGATTTATGTTTCCCAATTTATTTACTTTTTATTATTTCTTAAATAGCGATATGTGTAGTGTTGCAACATGGCAACAACAACTTTGCAAATATGAAAACCGTAAATTTCTTTTCGTTTACTCAATTTTATCATTTTATTTATAGTTTATGTTATTTTATTTTAATTCATTTTATGTTATTTAAATTTATTTTAATTCATTTTATGTTATTTAATTTTATTTTATTTTATTTTATTTTATTTTATTTTATTTTATTTTATTTTATTTTATTTTATTTTATTTTATTTTATTTTATTTTATTTTATTTTATTTAATTTAATTTAATTTTTTGTTTTTTTATATTTTATTTATTTCAGTTTTTTAATTAGCTAGGAATAAAATTATTTCCACTATAAGCTCTTTGAAGGGAAATTTTCCTACTATAGCTACATGCACCTACACTAGTGTACTTGCGTTCTCAATTGCATACTGTACTTAGAACCCGCCAAATCGGGTACAAACATTGAAATGAAGAATGCTTCTGAAGTTCAACGAAAAAGGATACCTTTAGTTGCTTACTCTTCTTTTGCAGCATCCTCGTCATCGACAACGCATACCAGCACCCACACACATACTCGTACAATACAAAAAAAAATCTATTTACAAGCACTTCATCTGTGCATTTGAATACGCCTGCTAAGTATCCATCCAACCACTTGCAACAGCAACAACCACAACTACATACTATTCTTGCGTTCGCATCTAAGGTATTGTAAAAAATGTTGATAACAAAACAGTAAAAAATGAAAAGGAATATAATGAAAGTAAAAGAATTGAAGATAAAAGAAATGCGAAGGGAAAATTTGTGAGGCGCGGGATGCTGTAGGAATCAACCCTCGACACGTTCACTTTTTTGTTTGTTCTACACGTCTGCTGGCACAGCCAAGGAAGTGGAGAGGGACAAGGAGGTACACCCGCAGACTTTCTGGTTTGAGTTCATCTATTCACTCAAAACTCTCTAAACAATTTTTCCAATGCATGAATATATATATATATATGTATATACATATGTATGCAGTTGTTTCAGTTGATGATAATGCTGTTGTTGCTTCTCCAATTGTTTGATGCAGGGATCGCCAAACAAATGTGTTATTTAACTTATAGTTAATGAAATAAATTTTTTCTTTAATTTTAAGACCGAGGAGAAGAATTCGGCCCTAATAGCCAAATCACGAATGATTTGTATTCTATATATTGGTTGCCTTGGTCGAAGTTAACTTTCTTTGGGTCCGACATAAGCACTATTTGCCGACACCTGATATTATAGTAGATGTTGCTGATAACAGCAACCATGGAGAATTGCATATATACAATCCCACTCTTGCAAGGCATTGAAATATAATGGTGACGCAGGCGAGAATATCTAAAACATTCAAAATCAATATACACTGAGCCAAATTTTGGGAGAATTTTTAAATGTTAATCTAATTTAAAATGGTCAGCATAATAGACTTACTCACGCGAGGGAATGACAAAAATATTCATTATGGTTGACTGTGACCAAAACGGCTTAGAAAAAATTGATTGTGGAAGATTTTCAGGTAAAATTACGTACCGATGGGTATTTTTGTACATATAAGATAATGGAAATCGGCCAAATCGCTTCAACGTTTACAAGTTTATTACTACTTTTATTATTAATCGCAATTAAATTCTTGGCCCAGAGCTCAAAGGTCGTCTAAGAACTAAGCAGAAAGAAGATGGGTAAAGTCCCTCTGAAAACGATTTAATGAATCAAAGGATAAAATAACTTTTCGGTGAGCGTCCCAATCGTATAGACAGGAGAGGTTTCTAAGCCGAAGTAAATAAGTAAAGACTCCAGATTTTACTCGGTGTACTCCGCGAGCTCATTGCGACAATAACTATACCAGCAACAACGTACAACGTACAATGTGTCTAAAACATTACAAAAACAAGCGGCAGCATAAAAATGCGATGAGATTTTTTGACTGTGAACACGTAGTTAAAAAATATTGAGAGCCACAAAGGAGGACGATGACGGCAGGCATGGAGAAATTAAAAAAAAAAAAAAAAACCTATACATTAACAGACCTAACAGCAATAATAGCAACAACTGCACATACTAAATAGAAGTTTTGCCCGCAACCAAAGGCAAAGGCAAAGTGATAGCCAAAGTACAAGTAAAAGGCAGCAAAGCAAAGGTCAAGTGGGGCTCAAGGAGGGCAGTGGGAACGGCAGGCGAAACACATACACGGCACGGCACGGCACGGTTTGGTACGAAGGCTGTGGCAAAGGCAAAGCAAACTTCTCGCGCGCGCACATAAACCACCCTTGAAAATTGTTCGCGTTTCGCACAAAGCGAATAGTAATAGCAACAACAGCAACAACAGCAACAACAACAATAACAATTAAAAGCAGTACAACATCACCGACGACGAAACAAGAGCAATCGCAGCAGCAACAGCAGCAAAGTTTTAAAAATATGTAGTGAACGAAAAGGTGCAAGTAAAAAAGGACCTCAGCCAACGCGACAACCCGTCAACCACCCACCAAAAAAATTTTAAGTTCGTAAAAAAGCTACTCACCTCCGCGTACGTTAAGGCAGAGGGGTGCGTTTGACTTCGCTGCCGGCATAGTTACTACTGATGAGAAGCAACTACCTTAGAGAGTATTTGCTGGCAATAAAAGTAGTAATCAAGCCGCGCACTGCTCCGCGCGACCTTCGTCTTATAACCGCTTGGCTGTCTGCTAGCTGAGTTCGGTGTCTCAGTGACTGGTGCCGTGATACTCCAAACGCTTTGTTGAGCTTTGTCGCCGCGCAGCGCCGTTGGCTGATTTTGAATTTGCCGAGTTAGAAAGAGATGAGCATTAGAAGCGCTGTCAACGCAGACGTGCGCGTTGCGGCGCGAAAGAAAGAAATTATATTTTATTTTATGGCTTTTTTACATTTTTCTATAACACATACAATAGCAATAACTACAACAGTAATGGCGAAAAAACAAATTGTTGTTGTTGCTGCTGTGTGTGTTTTCAGCAAGTAATAATTGCAATAGGAAAGTGAAGGTTGCAGGATGCTGTTAGTCGACATGAGCGTACGGCGTAAGGGGCTTCAATAGTGACGATATGGCAACACTGGCGGTACGCGGTAGGGCGACTGCTAGTAGTTGGTTTACATTGCTTTGCTAAAATTACGGGGAGACATTAATTTTTCAGAATTACGCGTGCATATGAGCCAAGTTGGCTGCACAAAAATACACACAGGGCTCGTGAACATGTCTCCACACACATACATACTTACATCAATTTCATTTCTATGGAGAGCGCTCAGAAGGTGCGTACACGCGAATATATAAAAAAAATGGTTTTAGCGGCGCTCGGTGATACGGCGCGCGGCCCGGCTGCTGTTGGCAGCGTAGCTCTCGTGGAAGCGTGGTTTAATGAAGCGGGCGCTCGGCGCAAGGTAGCAACGCGGCACTAGTGCGCACTACCACTACTAGTGTCAGTTTGGTGGCGCGTTGCGGAATGGCGGGTGGCTATGAGTTGGAGCGGGTTTTGGATGGGGTTGCGTTCTGCCATTTTTGTAGGTATTTATTTTTTACGAGCTCTATATGTTGTGTAAAATAGCGCATTTGTGCCGCACAGTCGTTACCGTTATGCCGTTTTTGGCAATTCGCGTACTACTTGACATGTGTGCGTGTAATTTTGTGTTTGACAAAACAAAAAAAGAAATACCCAAAAGCATCTCCTTTAGCACGTTTGGCGGCATTTAAATATTTTGCTGCTTTCCTTTTTTTAACTTTCATTTTTAGTATCTACATGCCCACCGCTCGCCACTCGCCACTCGCCGCTTGCCTGCCTACCTTTTTAGTGCGCCTCAACGAAATTCATTACATCTTTATATGAATCTAGATAGATAGATAGATGTGTGAGTGAGCGCTTTTTGTTGCTTTTTTATTGTATTTATTTTTTATGTTTTGGTGCAGGTTTTAGAGCCTTTTAGAATATTTTCCTTTTTTTGGAACATTTAAAAGAATTAATGGCATGCGCATGCAATATATTTATAGTGGCAGCACCCAAGTGATTAGTATTTAGTCCGGTTTGGCATTAAATACTACATTAAAATCTGTACGATGTTCCATGCTGAGGTGAAATATTTTAAATGGCAAAAACAAAGGCCTAATGGGACGTGAAAGAAGATTTTTTAATTGAATTAAAAAAAAGATCAAACAGGTGGCAACACTCCCAAAAAATATCTCGGCCTTAAACCCTTGACATAATCACCACACAGCAGAGCAATAGGAATCTGTTTCGCATCACGTGGATAATGTGAACCCTCAGAGATGCCGTGCAGTGCGCCCCGAAGACGCCATTGCTGCTATGAAGAAGCAGAATCCATCCACTATCGCACGCTACTATTAGAGCTAAACCACTCCACTTAATGTAAGATATTGCGGAAAGATCTTGGTTTACGGACTCACAAAACCGAACTCATGTAGGAATTAAACCTGGACGATCACCAATTCAGCCATAATATTACAGTCAATGG